TCTCCCATGTTGAAGGCCACGAGGTCCTCTCCTAGACGAGACACCCAGTCGCTCTCCTGCCCGCCCCGGTATCCCACGCCCCCCGCCATCGCTCCTAACAGCATGCGCTTGGGGAGGCGGTTGTCCTCCATGCGCATAACGAAGCCCGCAAAACACAGCGCTGTGGTGTGTGGTGATTTTCTTTAAGCTGTAGTAGCCGCCCCCGTTACTACCCGGCTGTGGGGCCGCACAGATATTAAATAGAGAGAAGGACCGTCACCGCTTCTTATGCCGCAGACACGGTCGCAAAAGCTGCATTAGCAGCGGCGGCAGAGCCGTTGCAACCGGGCACAATTTCCGGAGATGACCAGAAAACAATAAAAGATTGTCGGAAGGCAAACATAAATAAATAAAAGACACGTATCAGATGGAGCAGGTAGATATGACTTTTCCAAAAAGGAACTGAAGCCACCGCCACCCTGGTCGCCCTTCTACGGGGTTGAAGAGACATTGCAAGGAAAGCAGAGCAACCACTGTTTTTAATGGCGCCGAGACAGCAGTAGCAAGAGCTGTAGCGACGCAGGATATAGCAACGCTGGAAGTGGTTCAAAAATCAGTTGTTCAATAACGTGCACATAGACAGGCACAAGGAAGAGGCAGCGATCTCACCCAAACAAAAACCAAAACATACCCAAACGGATTTGCAACGGCCACTCCCGTTACCGCCCGTCAATGTGGCTCAACAGACATTGCAAGCAAAGGAAGAGAATCACTGCTACTCATGGTGCAGGAACGGTAGTAACAGCTGCAGTAGCGCCGGTGGCAGGGCCGTTGGGCCTGTGCACAATTTCAGAGATGAGAAGCGGAAAAAGAAACACCGACGATCAAGAGGCGCGTCTGATTTTCACAACATAGATAGTACCACGGAAATTGACCGAGTCAAGTAGTGCTGGATTAGTACGGAGAGATTGAGACAGAAGGAGGTACTGGATATAGAGACCGGGATGGTTTTTAATGTGAAGACAACAACAACAACAACAACCAAAGAGGACTGGAGCCGCCGCCGCCCATCCCGCCCTGTCAGGGGACCGAAGAGACACTGCGAGGAAAGCAGGGAAACCACTGCTACTCATGGAGCAGTAACGGCAGCAAGAGCTGCAGTGTAGCGTCGGTCGTGGATTTAGGCATTGTTGGCGAACCGTCAGTTCATAAAAAATCGCACAAAAAAATCTGTCGCACATTGTTGGCGCAACGTCAGTTCATCAAACATCGCACGGAAAAATCTGTCCAACACACAACCTATTTTTTATTTTTTTCTGTTTCTTCGTGGGGTCGTGTATGCCGGGTTTTGAGACCACGGGCTCCCAATCTTTCTTTTTTAGAGCTCATGTGAGAAACAAAAAAAAACCACGGGCTCCCCATTTTCGGTGGTAGCTTTAGAGCTAATTAATGTGTGAACAACAACAACAACAACAACAACAACAACAACAACAACAACAACAACAACAGTTGAGCTTTTTCCATCGTCGTGCCTGCTTCGCCCCCAAACGCCAGAGAGGCCACACCCTCGCTCTCTCCCCCCTAGTGTTGCTCCCTCCAGAGCTCGCTCCCTAGGTGCTCGCCCCGTAGACGGCAGTGGGCCTCGGCGTTCTTGATGCGCCCGTCGCTACCGAATCGGCTGGTTGATTGAGTGGTTACCATATTTTCGACAAGCGGGGGATTTTTGGACCCGTGCGTCACCCAAAAACTACCCCATCGTAGGATTCGTGTTGACAGATACTGGCGCGAAGGATCCTGGAGCTGTTTCTTGTGCCACCTCCGTGAACACGATAGCTACGATTTTATCGGACGCGATTTGCGTTCAAGTTGCACACGTTCGTGGCAGCAGGTGAAAAGGGCCGAAAATCACTTGTTTTAGAGAGTTTTATGGGTTCTAACCCGAACGAAAAGGTGGACGGGCACTACACGGCCCTAGGTTTGCTAGAGGGAGCTGTATTGCCTCAGTATCCTGGCTTCGCCATCAAAGGAGGAGGGAGCAGGTGGCGACGAGGTTGTTTCATAGGCTGGTTGACCATTCGGCGCGATAATTTTTATTTTTTTCAGACCAAGAACCTTGAAATCAATGAGGGAGAAAGCGAGGAACCGACTGGGAAGGACAGCAACGAGGAGCGTGTACGGACGGAGCAGGTCGAGTGGCCGTTTGCTCGGGCTGACTACAGCGGCGCCGGATGGAGCAGCGGTACCGGAGCATGCGGGCGACATCGACCCGTGGTGCACGGACAAACATTTCTATCTGTGTTATCAATTTTTTTCGTTTTTTTTCTGACTTTCCGTGTTGGTTTTGTGTGATGACGTCGTCACCGGTTTTGTAGAGAGACCCGTCAGAGATGGCTTGGCTAGCCCGGGTGCCTTGGTTTTGTGCCTGATCGTGGAAGACCCCTTCAATGTGGGACGATTCTTAGCTTATGTCGATATCTTCCACTGCAGTGCCTAACACAGACGATCGGGAGAGATTCGGGTGATTGACAATTGCTGCTATGATGGCTTTGGTTCGTTGTTATTTTTCACTGTACGGCCAGGTATCGCACCGACCGTTCGAGAAAAGTAGTTACTTACACCTGGTCCAGCGTAAACGTGTAAGATGTAGTTTGTTTGTAGGAAATAAGAGAAGAAGGACGAAGCACACATCAGTTCGCTTTTCGCGGACAGGTGACAGGTGATCTCCACAGCAGTCCAACCGCGTCGCGACCCGCTCGTTTGTGTTACTGCAAGTACATGCTATGTTGTTGTTGTTGTTGTTGTTTCTCACATTAGCTCTATAGTCCACAAAAAATGGGGAGCCCGTGGTCTCAAAACCCGGCACATACGACGCCGCGAGAAAACAAAAAACAAAAATAGGATACAAACCACTCGGAAAAAGAAAACAAAATGATCGAAAGAAAGAAAAGAACAGGTATCGCACCTACTGTTCGAGAAAAGAGCCCTCGGACAC